CTTCCTCGACTCCTTGGAGGCATTCGTGATGAACATGCGGTGAGACTTGCAGTAGGTTGAGTAACCAATGTCCTCCTTGATCTTTCGACAGATCTTTGGCTTGTGACAACCTATGTCAGCGGCGATCTTGATGTAGCTCTGGCTTCTATCATTGTCAAGTGTCTCCTTGACGACGGCGACGAACTCGTCAGTCCTAACGGCCGAAGAACGAACGTTGTGGGCGTTTCGTTTGTCAGCAAACTCGTCCTTGTTCTCACACGTCTTCCACTTCCTCCAAATATCCATGACCATGGTCCTCTTGAACCCAAATCAGGCCATCACTTCCGCAGACTTCTTCCCGACGCGAAAAGATGCTACTGCCGCTGCTCTACGCTCATATTCCACCCTGGAAAAGGGTAGAGAGAAAAACTTCAGTTAGTTGTCAAATTGTCGAGTATCTCCATATACAACTTTTGTTTTTATTGCCGATTTCTTTTTCTTTTTGTCAAGTGACGGATTTAGCTGCAACACTCTGTACAGATATTTTTGGCGAGATCCATTCTTGCTGAATCATTTTGCTTTAGTTCCTTATTATAAAGGGTATTTTAATAGTTTAACTATAATATTATATACAGAAAGATATATTTTATATATATGTTTTCAAAGAGTTCTATTTAAATGTACATGAAAGAATCATTAAGCAAAAAATAGAAAAATAAAAGGAAATTTATTCTAAAGAGCTGATTCTGATTTTCACGTGTAAAGATTTGAAAGCAGGACGTATTATTTTCTGACCTTCATTAAGTGTCCAGCAATCAGGGTAACTTTTGAAGGAATGTCGCATCGAACCGTTTATTGCATTTTAATATTCTCGTTCCGCAGTCCTTGTCTAGTGATATTTCGTTTAATTCTCTTTAGCACTAATAAGTCCATTAGCAACAAAGAAAAGAACACCTAACTATTTCTAATATCGGTCCTCCTATATGGCAGTGAATGCTGGACAGACCCATCACAGTTGAAGAATAGTGTTCAAGCAACAGAAATGTGGTTCTACAGAAGACTGAAGACGCGAACAACGACGTTTTATAGGAAATGGAAACAAAAATGAGAATTCCATTAACACCAGAAAGAGACAGTTGAAATTTCTAGGAAACAAACTGAGGAAAGAGGTCTTGATACTCAGAAGGCAGACTGAAGGTAGGATGGACAGAAAAAAAACATACGCGTGACATACCTAAGGCGCTTGAGTAAATGGATGGCTGAACAAGTTTAGAGGCGATCGCAAAAAGACAAACGTTACTGAGAGCTTCAAATTACAGAAGAAATGTCAACGTTCTGAAGAGAGACGTCACATTTAAAAGAAGTTTTTTTTGTTCGGTCCTGTTTTAAATGAATCTGACACTATATTACATAATACCAGGGACTGAAATCAAAACAGCTGATGAAGTCTTGACACTTTATTTTTATGTAATATTTACCCAATACAAGGCTTACAAGCTGTTCAAGGTGGAGCTTTAATGAGGTTGCTGAATGAGCATAGGATGTGGATGGTAAGAAAAGAATTTTATAAGGCTCTATAGGAATTATATAAGAAATTAGAAAGAAAAAAGAAAATTGTGCATAGATTCCAAAAGACAGTCAACATTTCTGAATGAAATATGACGTTATCCTATTTCTATACAACTTACATATCGCAATGTTGTTTGTAGTGTGCCAGAAGGCCTATATAAAAATTAATGATGTGTAGTGAAACTCGACAAAAATATAATAGTGACAAGATCCATCGAACATAGATGTCGGGATTAAACGGAATAGATCCAAATTTGGTGTAACATTTCGTCATTGAATTCACTTCAATAAAATATGGGCGCCTGGAATGTGTGACTGTGATACGCTTTAAAATCTGTTAAGGAATTATTTCTTTAGTTCAATTTTGGTGCATTTTAATATTGTGGAGAAAAGACCGTTAAACTAGACAAGAGAGAGATACATATAACAGTTCCAATAAATCTTGTTAGGAACAAGTAATTGTGAAAGTGCTTTATCTAGAAGAAATATTCACTATTTTGAATCTATTTCTTCAGCAACTATTTCCGTGTTCATGACAGTTCCACCTTTCTCTCTCTCTCTCTCATGTGGAAAACATATTGATTCAGTTTTTAAAAAATAATTAAAACATTTTATGTAAAAATTATAAAGTTGGGTGCTTAAATCTTTTTTCCAATTACAAAAATAACATATTTAGAGCTATAAATGTATTTTATTATTTTGTTATAGTCCTCTCTCACTCTTCCTCTCTTTTCTCTCTCTCTCTCTCTCTATATATATATATATATATATATATATATATATATATATATAGAGAGAGAGAGAGAGAGGTTATTTAGGCAGCATTCTTTATTTTATACATGTTTCATTAAAAACTGACGATTTTTTTTGACACATAGTGTGTAATAACTGTCTAAACTTTCTGCATATCTGAGCGCATTGAGCTATTATTTTACCCATTATCAAGGATGAATTTTTTTTATTTCTTCTTATTTTTAATTGAATATGTGTCTTTAAGAACTTATCGGAATCTATTATTTTTCAAATATGGATAGCACATGAAGAGCGTATGACTAGTTAATGTTACTTCCCTGTTTTATTATTTGGGCTTCCATTATATTTAATCTTTTTTGAATGAGGCACCTGTTATGGCCCCAGCTATGGGTAAATAGTAAACTATTACCAACAATACTTATTTGAAAAAAAATTATTACCATCAATAAAATTTTGAAGGAAAAATATTACCAGAAACAGATTTTTGACAAAACAAAATATTGCCAATAATAAAAAATGTTGTCGGCATTAAATAACCCATTGAGGTTGATATGCTGCAAGAAAAAATAAACCAAACGAAACTAGTATGTTTCACCTCCACTTTTCACTAAAGAATTAAATAATGCAAAAAGACACTAGTTACAATAGTTTTCCTAACTACATCATCGACCACAAATAAGATTATTTCTATCTAAAGTAACTAATAACGATAGTGACATAACGTCAAAGACAATAACATTAACATCTTCTACAAAAGCCAAATACATGACAACTATAAGCAAGATGAATTTTCTCTTAGAAATATCATAAGGAAATACACAACCTCAGTCAACCTGAACAAAAAAAATTATCTATTAAAAAAAATTAAAGCAGCTAACCTTATCATGAAAAATAACATCACACCACCAAAATCAAAACAACAAAGAACAAACATTATTTACAAATTCAAATGCCCCTGAAATAATTTCCTGATCAAACCAAACTCATAATTATATTGGTCACACTACTACATGACTATCTAAAGAACTTACGTTACACCTACCTGACCATAGCTCCATTACGACGCATTTAAACGCACATTAAATCATATCAGACTTCATCCGAATCATTCTAGTAGAAAATACAAGCATAATAACCTCATCAACATGTAAACAGATAAAAAAAAATAATAGAAGCCATAATAATAAAGGAAAATCCAACACTCAATATCATTAACTATAAACACGACCACAATATGCTGACAGTGTTCGGAACATAATATATACCTATAATTTCAGACACATACATAAGAAAACACATATTTACCTAAAAAGAAAAACAATCGAAAAACCGCGCTTGATAATGGCTAAAAGAATAAGCGAAATCGCTCGGATATGCAGAACTTTTGAATTTTTTTACACGCTTTGTGTTCAGAAAAGAAAAAAAACATATACAAACACGAGAATAAATAAATAAAATCTTAATCGCAGTACCTTGTCACTCGTGTTTAACGAAACACACACACACACACACACACACACACACACACACACACATATATATATATATATATATATATATATATATATATAAAAATATGATTCCAAATCGCGACATAAGAAGTCTCATGTTACAAAACAAGAGCCGAAAACTTCAATATAATTATTTAAATTAAATTGAGTTAAAGTAAGCTCTGTTCCATCTTCAAGCGAATTTTTTGGGAATAACGTATATCTGAAATTTACGTGTTTTAAAATTGAAATCAAAATTTCCATGGTAACAGCTAGGGCGATGTCGCAATTTGGAATCATATTTTTAAATAAATAATTATATTTAACTTTTGTAAGCACTATTTTTAATCGCTAAGGGACTTTGGAATTTGTAACCAGTTCTTTCCTATTTTCTATATATTTTAACAAAGACACACACACACACATATATATATATATATATATATATATATATATATATATATATATATGTGTGTGTGTGTGTGTAGCAAGTTCCACAAGAGTATAAAAAGGACATGCACAATCCCTCCAACAATTTGAAAAAACAGGTTGGGCTGATGAAATTTTATAAATTCCAGGACTCGGAGATGGTATACCGAGCGAGCACATACTGAGAACCAGGTGTCTTCGTAATCGGTCATGTTGTCGAGCAAAAACGAAATGGACTGCCTGAGTAGTTCTTAAAGATTGGCTCAGACTACCAGAGCGAAAATTGCACAACCTCAGATTGGTTCGTACTATTTACACCGCGTCACAACGGCATTTAAACTTGTAATTAATTTTTTGAAAATATGACAACCTATCTTTAGTATAATGTCTAATTGCGCCCAACTTAACAACATTATAAGAAGTTCCGAAATTCTGTCTTCTGAATTTCCTACCAAGCCATGGTAACTTTTAAATAAATAGGTTTTTTTGGATCCAAACACCACTGGTTCCTTAAAACGCTTGATTTTATTGTTAATTACGTCTGATAAAGTTGATGGCATATCCATTTTTTTACAAATATTTCGAATAGTAATAGTTCCCCATCTAACTGTTCGGGGGAACAGATCATCATATGAAACAGGGTCGCAATCAGACCAATCTCACTGGACGAACAAACGAATTCCACCTCGTATATAAACCGGTAAATGTAAGTTTACGAAAATACTTAACGAAAAAAGCCGTCCTACGTTTAAGAAGGACCTCCAAAATGGATATATATATATATATATATATATATATATATATATATATATATATATAATCGGTGCGACAGTTAAAATTTTTGGTATATTATATTGTTAATCTCGAGCATGCACATTCCTTGTTCTTGATTTTGTCAACGACACAGTATACGAGGGCCAGTTAGACACCTATGTGAAAAAGAGCCCAATGACGTAATTTACTTCGTCAGAAATTTGGAAAAGGCATGCTCTACTGCTTGGCATTTGCGCCGGAATTTCAGAATGTTTGGGTGTCAATCTGGGGACAGTGCAGAAGATTTTGAAAGAGTTG